TACTTCAGTATATCTTTAAAGTGGCTCTTTAAAAGTATGGTGTAGTAAAATCTTGGGGGAAAATCTCTGAAGGCTGATAGAGGAGGGGTTTATATACTCTGCTCTCTAAACCTAACTGTAGTAATATTTGCCTCTATCACTACTTTGGTTCAGGGTTGATCATTAACAGGTGTCATTATCACTAGTGATATGTAATTACATACACATGTTGTTGAGGTACAAAGGATTGTTTGCGTCAAGTACATCACAATGTGTGTTAAGTGTGAAGGGTATGTAGAAGGATAATGGAAAGGTTTCAAGAAGAAAGATGGATTGGTATGATTTAGGATGGCTGTGTTAGAACTCATCAACTATTCACATCAACTAGTACGGACTGGGAAGGAGGCTTTCATTTAGTTATTTCTCTTTTGGGATTGCGCATCACTGTTTCCTGTTCTCCCTAAACTGTTCCCTATTGGTTCAGAATGTGTTGTCAAGTCCGAGTTATGTGTTTCATTTTTCTTTTTGCTCAGACTTATATACCAGGCTTCTCTCCCACTCTGGGTTTGTTCCTCACCGTTAGGAACAAGAATAACTCAGAGTAAGCCTTTTTCTTTTCTCTCTTTTTCACTTTGGCTGTCACTATTAGCCTGGACAAAGCTCACTCGTTGTTGTAATCTCTCCTCTACTTTACTCCTGCTTGTCTGCAGGTAAGGACGTGATCCTTTTCCGTCAAGTCTACTTCTTTGAGTTCATTTAGAGCTTACACTCATACACCTGTCTGTCCAGGTAAGGATGTGATCCTTTCCTGTCAAGTCTACTTCTTTGAGTTCATTTAGAGCTTACACTCATACAACTGTCTGTCCAGGTTGTTCTGCTTTTATAAGCTCTAGTTGTGTTGATAAATTTCTGCATTGAACTCTTTCACATGTTATTTATAATATGTAATATAAACAGTTTCACTCTTGACACTGAGTTATGAGGTGTAATTCATGTTTCATTACATATTACATGTTGTTTTAAGTGTACATTTGTATGTAATAAGTGTTTTGGTTCAGGTGGTGGGTGTGGGTTTGAAAGAGAGGGGCGTGCCCGGGCACAGAATCCGTTGTCTGGGACACACCCAAATAGAAGGACACTGCCAGCATTAAGTACGTTCCTTGGTGAGAATATGACCTAGGCTAGAAACATGATTGAGAGTATATTGGGTCATCAAATCATCTTGCACTCCACATCTGAGCCGTAAAACCTATGCTACATATCTGAAAACATCTGAGTAAATCCTGAGCTATCAGCTACATACAGGTACACTCAGTTATCTGCTCATTTAGATATGCAAATCACATGTAATAATTTATGTAACTTTGTTCAGATTGAGACATGCATTTCAAAAGATTGACTACATATATCACAATGGCTACTCATGCAATATTCATGGAGCTGTGTAACAGTAGCAGGAGGGGAATCTGGTCCCTAGGACCCATATTCCCATCTGGGAATCTCTTTAATGCTGGCAGTGGGAGGCGTGTGGGTGCACCTTTGAAACAAAAAAAAACATTATAAACATGAAAAAATCTTCTCAGAAACAGCAATCAAGGCTGTGATGGAGCTCAAACACAAATGGGGATGTGAGAAAAGCGGTTTCAAGTCAGGATGACCACACTTTCAAGATAAAAATCAGAGATTGTTTTGCTCAAGAACTATTTTACAGGTCTTGCAACTCAGATGTGCAATTGATAGCAGAAATATTCTAAGTGGGGCTCATATGTAGTGCTTTTCTGGCTTGAAATTTAAACAGACCAAAATTACAATGTAATGGGCTCCCTCCAGCCCAAGATTAGGTCCAAGAAGACCTTCTATCCTTCAGATTATCCAAGTCTGGCACGCCTTTTGACACACCAAATGTGCTGTGCCCACCACCTGAGTTTTGGTACATTTTATTACATGTTACATACTGTTCTTAGGCTGTATATATATGTAATGAGTTTTATATATAATATATTTAATAAGGGTACTCAAAGTACTATGTGGCGCCACATATCTGGCATCACATACTTTTCAAATTTCATTTTTGATACGGAAATTACCATAACGAGTTGGAGAAAAGGACATGTTGAATTATATTTGGCAAATTTTAATGTCAGCGTAGGTCATTTTGCCTGTCAAAAACAAAATTTGGAAGTATGTGGTGCCACATATGTAGCGCCACATACTTGCTTTGAGTACCCTTAATGTTACAAGTTATTTTTGGGTACATGTATATGTACTCAGGGCTGAAGACATTTCTATCACAATTCAGGTTCCATAATGATGGATAGAATACTTCCCAATTTACATGCAAATTGTGTACTTGACTTGTGTAATGAACTTGAGAAAAAAAATCCTGACCATCTCTTTAGATGGGTGGACTGATGTAGAGAGAAACAGTCTTTATGCTGTTCTGGTTCTATGTGGAAATGAGATCAAACACTATGTTGATCAGTTGGATCTTCATGAGAAGAGACATACATCGGCAACGTTTTTGGAAGCCTTGAATAGATCTCTTGAAGGTTTGGTGCCCTGGTGGGATAACATCAATGCTGTTGTCACAGCCTCTTCCTCAACTATGGGCAAGTTCCATGTAAGTCCATTGCTTTTGTTTGTTTGTTTGATATGATGAAACCTGATGTCCTACTCATTTGATATAGAGGCTTGTGCAATAGGAGTATAATCAAGTTTCTGGATTATTGTGTGTCTTACATGTGTTCAATATTATTGCTAAAGACTTTCTCAACCACTCAAGTATGAAGGATGTCACTTCTCACAACAAAAAGCTTGTAAATTTCTTTGCATCTTGGAGGAAAAAGGAAGGTGTCACTCATTGTCTCCAGACAGCTTGTGAACTTTGTTGGTTCAGCTTCAACAAAGTCTGCCTTTCTGTTGATCAGCATGAAATCAGATTTATTAGATGTGTTGAAAAGGCTGATGATCAATCAGTGGACACATCTTCAATCACAGCCCTCAATCACAATTTGGGCCAGTGCATCCTGGCAACTTGGAATTTTTCTAATTAGTTTTGTATCAGATGTTGAATGTAAATCATTCAGTTTTTGACAAGTCTTTTAATATATCACATCTTTCCTAGAGAAAATGAACCCCCAAGTTCTAAAACCTGGCCAATAAAAGCAGCTTGGGAAATGCAGATCAAGGAGTGGAAGCTAGTACTAGAAGATCTAGATTCTGTATCTGGTCAGGTCATTGAGATATAATTGAGGAATACATCATGAGTTACTTATAAATTGCAATAAATATGATTGCCTGGGGGTTTCAGTATCATTCAAGTCCCCACCAAGGAAGGATTTCCGCAAGCTCTGGACAATATGTCCCAAGTAATCGTAGCAGAGAGCCTACCTTTGACAGCAGACCAGCAGCCTCTGCCCCCCAAACACATGTCATGTAACTCAATAACATCTTGAGCTAAATGATACATGGTTTTATGTTTATACTAGTTATGGCTTTTTATGAAACTTGTAAATTGCAATGCAATGAAATAATGAATAAACAAAATCATAACACCAAGCAGTGAAATGGTTGTGAGATTTTAATGGAATGTTACACATGCCCAAAGGCACAATGAAACCTGTAGAGTTGCACAAAAATTGGGGATGAAAAGGAAACCAACAAAAGGGACCCCAGTATGACAAATGATTGGGTACAAGGATTGTGGTACAATGAGAATTTTTGTCAAGAGATGAGTAAGAAAGGAAAACAACTTTATTACTTGTCCATCCAAATTCATCCCTCCTTGACAAAGAAGAGACTAAACACATTTCTCTCTATAATGGATTTTTTTAAATCTTGAGCTACATGACACATGTTCTTATGTTTAAAGTAGCACTGGATTTTCATGAGACTCATGAAATATAATGCAATAAAATGATGAGTAAAAAATCATAATACCAAAATGAGAAATGTGCACAATATTTTAATGGAAGTAAGGGTTTAATCAAGATTATATGTTATATATACATGTTGGTTGGTTTTTGTGTTTAAGATTCAACTTTTTTTAGAAAAAAGAGATTCATGTAATTAGATGATTGGATCAAAGATAATGAAGTTTTTGTAGTAGTCTTTAGATCAAAGGTACACATATATATAAATTGTCTTGTTGTTGTGGTTTCCGGGGAAATTCCAGAATTAGTAATTAAGTTAAAATAGTATGTAAACAAGTTCTTTTCTTGTACTCTTCCTCTATTTTTGTTTTTGTTGTTCACATACCAATATACATGAAATGTTGACATGAGTCAATTTTTTTGGTTGCATGTATTTTCAAATTTTGAAGGGAAAAAAGGTACATAGAATTGATGAAAAGGGGGAAGAAAAAATAAGTTTATTGAATGAATGATTTGTTTTGAGATATCTTATTGACAGTGTGTTGATCTCATGGTTCAAATGTTTGGGTTCTTCAATGGAAAAATAGGTAAGTGGGCATATTGGTCACCTACATGCATATACCAACCTTTAGGTTCTTTTACAATAACAGATGTGCAAAGAACTTTAAGGGAAGGGTAGTAAGAAAGATTCTCATTGTGAGGCAAAAGTTGCCTTGAAACACAGGAGTGAATTTACCAAAAAGAGTAGTGATTGAAAGATTCACTAGACCCTGAGTATCTAAGCTATATTCGAGTGAAAACATGGTGGATTCACATTGAGCATGCTGTCTGTACAAATAGGGGGTGGGTTTGACAAGCACTCCATCATCTCAAGGATTGCAAATATATGCTGCCATGAAATCTGTCTTTTGGAATCCTAGCATGATCCATTTTAGCTAGATCCATGTGAATTGTCAGGGTCTTGTGATGTACGGCACAAAGGACACTACTTTTAAAATGATATTACAATTTTTCGACTACGTGATACAATGAGTTACTTAAAAATGAAAGATACATGAAAAAACAAAATACCAATGAAATTATATACAACGGCCACGAGGAGTCCCGATAAGATGTGTAGTTTGATCTGAGTTCTGGTTTGTTCACAATCTAGAGCTCAATGTAGTTTTTGGGATCAGTAGCCAAACGTGGCATCATGGCTAAGATTTTCTCCCGATCCTTAACTGCATCAAGACTAAGATTGTTGAATGAATGTGCGATCCCAGTAGGGTGCCAGCGTATATCTACACTTCTGCACGATCCTGCAGATCCAATGAGATCTTGAGGACCGCGTAGGTGAAACATCGTGTTACAGAGGTTGCTAGATGAACTACAGACGATTGACTCGGAATTGTCGACAGCAAATGTGATGTCACGGATCAATGCGACGGCGAGCGTCTTCCTGACCTCCAACGGGGCAGTGTTGAATGATGACTGAAGATGACCGTGCTCAGCGATAGAGATGCCTTTGGGTGAGACTATGAGTGGAAATCGTTGTGAGGCGGGATAGAATGATTGGTGTTCTTCAAACTTCTTCAGGGCCGCTTCGGGATCATCTGAGAGAATGAATAAAGCTGGCAGCTCTTTGGATGTCTTCCAGTCGGGCACATATGATTTAGCTATCTCAAGATAGGGTCGGGGATTGGATTGAGCGGATTTCACGCCAGAAAGTCCAGCAGTTTTCCAACCCATGTTCTCATCTATCTTGTCTCCCAGTCTAAATTGTATAGAGATCACCTTTCTGGCCATTGGTGAATCTAGATCAAAGTCAGCTGTTGAAGTGCGATGTGACGTCTTGTTTTGAAGCGCAAGCAGCTTGTCATTGAGCTCAACCTTCAATTTCATCACTTCGTCCAAGATCATTTGGTTTGGTTTCCATATATGTCTAAAAGCGTCTGATTTAGCGTCGAAGATTGGCTTCACTGAGTAATGTAGATTTTGTTCAGCGGGTAGGATAGTCCTCTGCTCTCGATGATTGATCATGTTCCAAACAGCGTGAGTGTCTATGGCGCGAGAGTCAACCTGTTGCAAAACATGACTAGTGTACCCATCTGGACTACAAATCAACGAAAATCAAAAAGTACTGGTGAGGACCGTTATCAGCATGTCAAAGTATTTATATGAACTCACTGTTCACGGTCTAGCCAGACGTGGTCAGACTCCTTCTTACCAAGGTTTGAGAAAAGTGTACGTGGCATCTCTCTCCAGTTTGAAGGGGGTCGACATTTAAGTGGAGGAATATCAAAATAATCCTGCAGATGAAGAGTCAGTACATATGCTTTTTCAGTCAAAACAGAAAAGACGCACGCTCAGCCTCCCATAATTCCATCTTGTATCATCCACGAGCATCGTATAATTGAGCCAGGTCGCCACTGCAGCTGCTTCGGTCTGAAAGATTGCAATAGATCAGAATCTTGTAAACCCGAGAAAATGGGATTCCACATACATAGAGAGATAATTCAGAGCCAAGTCCGGAGGCACCTGCAAATAAGTAAAGCATTGTTTTGCCGCATGACGGAAGCTCCTCTATAGGTTTCTTGCCAATGCTAGCCATGTGGGTTATCCGTGTTCTTTGGAATGCTCCTGTCAGATTTTCACTAAAGGAGAAAAAAGTCAGCTCAAAAAATGAGTACCTTGATGAGAATGTTTGACGAACTCTTTGGATGACGGCAAAAACAACCGATATGAGAATATTAAGACCACCACACAAGCAGTAATGAGCCAAGTTTTGTACTTCTCCTAAAGGTGCGAGATCATGACATGGTTAGACTAAAACTCAAGAATGTTATCTTCAAAGAATTTTCTCACCCCTTTGATCTGCATATGTTGTAAAGTTGGCCCGAATTTTGAAAGTCTCAAACTTTCAACAGGCTTGAACATTGGCATAGGACGTAAAGGTTCCATTGGCATCGTGGGGAGGGCAGTTCAGATCTGTTCTTGTGAGAATTTATTGATTAGGCTTCAAAATTTTGTTCAAGATAGTACGCCTTCCAGCGATATGACCAGTGTAATTGTAGGTGTAGGGTGTTCAAGGTGATTTTATGAGTAGTACGAAAATGGAGGGATATCGTTTTGAGGGCGGGAGTATTTTTTGACGGGACTGTTTATACCTCATGATGCTGGCAACTTTCGAAAAAAGAATTGTGATATGCTTCTTGATGTTTGTAGTGATTGCTTTGCTGTTGACCTAAATTATCGTATAGGCTCAGGCTCAGCGGTCACATCCCATACAAAAATCGACTCACCCTAAGATTGAGCTCGTAGGCTTTCTGGATCATGGCATCAACCAGGCTAGCCCCAGAACGATGGTTGGTCGTGAGGTGATGGTGGAGGCAGAAATGAAGCCTAGCCGATGTCACCAGGCTTGAGACGTCAAGTCACATATAGCCTCTTAGATGTAATTTGATGCCAACCAAGAAATACACACAATCATGAGATGTTAAAATCAAACGATACCATGATGATGTGTTACATGAGCAGATGTGATTTGCAGTAACAGAACAAGTTCATGAATACAACGTCCATCCGCTTAGACGTCTCCATGTGATGAATCTAACGATTGAAGATATCAGGCTTGTAGATCAAAGGGGTGTAGCGAGAAACGACTAAGAAAATCAAAACCATCAAGGTGAGGCGCAACTTGACAACGAACTTGTGTCTTTGATAGGGATTCATAATCAATGAGGTGAGCTGTTAAGCTGAATGGTTGTTGACATCAATCGTTTTGATTGAAATTCAGAATCGATCCAAAAATACGAAAAAACTTGCTCTCAACTGCCACACAGAAGCTTTTGACATCAGGCCCAGGGTGTTCAACACGTTATCATACACAAGTGAGCGTGAATTGCATGGTTCTATGTGATCTCAAGACCTGCCTGGTAAGTTTAACATCATTTAAGTTGAGCTTTGAAACAGAGCAATTGGAAAAGAACAAAGAACAAAAATCTAAGCTTCTCTTTGGAGAAAAGGGCTTCGAGTTGTGTATAGTGCGTGGAGGCAAGACCTTGGCAATTTGAGATCAAGTAAATACAGGTAAATACTCAATAAGTTGCCCTTTTGGCCCCGCCAGCTCAAATTTCATATCGTTCAATCTGGTTGGATTCTAGTTTTTTCATCAAAATTGTTTGCTGCTCTTTCCTATCGAGCTCGGTTTACTGTCCCAAGTCAACGAGCTCTTGGGTTGCAAGTTGTTCTTTTGCTCAACTTCCTACGACAAAAACTCGCGGAGATAAAATACATTTCCCAAAGAAAATTGATTCTGCAGAAAAAAAAAACAAGAAATCATTATTTTCCTCCAAAAAGATATACAGGGATTGCTCTGGATGAGAGCAGTCCAAAAGCTGAGAAAAATTTGAAAAAGGTGATGCGTTGGTATAGATATACTCTTTTGAAAAAAACAACCAAAAATATATGCATGGAATGCGCTCGATGAGAGCATTCCAGAACTCCAATCAGCTGGTTGATACGATAGGTTTTGAGGTGTAGCAATTGTTTTGGGCCTTCTTTTGAATTTGACAACAATTTGCCTCCACGCACTATAGAATGATTTTCTTTGCTTAATCCTAATTATTTCAAGGACTGTAGGCTATAGATCCTTGATGATCCAGGAGAATTATTGGTTACATTGCTCACTTGAGGGTATATGTACAATAGCTTTGTCATGTGATGAACCCATGTACTCTGACTGCTTCCTCATCCGTTTTTCGCCACTGTGTAGGTTCATCATTCTTCATGAACACCCTCAGACTATCTTCACTAGGATAGAAAACATGGTATTAAATTTTTTTCTTCTAGTATACTAAACCATTATCTTCCATGTATTCCCATATAAATTATAAATACGATCTCACAAAATGATACAAAATGATGTTGGTACAATTTACAATATTCAACAAATCGTTAGACATATTATACTTTGCATACTTCAAAGTAAGCTATCCTCAGATGATTCGATTCTTGGTACTGGAGCTGGTCTAGGATGTTCAAAAATTTCAGTGTTTTGAAATAAACTAGAGTTAGATAAATGGGTTGGTAAGATAGCAAGTAAATCATGATCTATTTGAAATGTAGGTGAAAATCCAGTTTGTAACTCTTCAATAGCTTCTTCATTACCTTCTAAAGTTATGTGTTCATTCTGATTTGTCAAAGATTGAGTTACAGACGGCAAAGAATTAGATAAAGATTGAGGCTCTCGCATGATTGGGTGTCCCATTAAATCAATAATCTGAATTGATGAGGTAGGTGAAGCAGTGAACATCGTTGAAGTTCTAGAAAGTCGTGATTGACTGGAGTTTCTTGTTAGAGGGGTTTCAATTTCACCCGAGTTCCTCATTTCATAGTTTTCAAAAGAAGAGTTTTGAAATGTGTCTCTTCTCGGAGACTGTGGGAATTGTGGAGGATCGAACGATTCGTTTCGACTTGCGTCTTCCATAGTTGTAAGACCACCAATGAAGCTAGTCACATCTATTTGACTGCCTCCTTGACGTCCAAAGCGTGGTTCGATTTCCTCTGGCTGATCATTTATAATCTGTTCTTCCGCTGGTTGTCTCGTAATCGGTGTCAGCTGAAAATTTGCGCTAGAGGGTTGGATAGAGTTCCCTCCACTTTTTGAAATAGTCAGAGGGGTGGTCAACTGGACTGGCTCTTGAGGTTCGATAGGTTCAGCGTCTAAATTCGATATATCGGGTTGTAATGCAACTGAATCGGTAGGTGCATTGAAACCCCCTTCTTCCCTCGTATCAAATACCACTGATGAAATAGTATCACTTTCTTTTAAATGAAGTGGTACTGGTAATTCAACAAAAACAGACGATCTATTACCCCAAGATAGGCGATTAAGACCATCTTGATGAAATATAGAAGAAAATGAAGAAGAAGGAAGGCTTGAATAAAGTGCGGAGGCCGTAAGGATAGAAGATAGATCTAATGATCTTAAAGCTGGTTGAGCAGCTTGGTGTGGGAAAAGTGGGAAGCTTGAAGACGGCAGCGGTCCTAATGAATCAGCTCTTACTTCAACTTGAAACTCTGGGTTTCCTTCATGACCATCAACCATGCGAAATGTGGGAAGAGGTGGTGGTATTTCCTCATCGTACTCTCCCATGTAGTACTTGGAGAATATGGTTGAAGCAGGAATTGAGTTTAATGGCCCCAAGTCATCCATAACCTTCGATCCTTGGTCATCTGCCATAGAAAGGAATGAAAATCGCGCTTCGCTTGCATTATAGTTGAGATTTGAATTCCTATCGTAGATAATGGGCTTCTGAGGATCATCAAGTGTCGAATAAAATGCATAATCTGGTTGACTGAGTCGTTCTCTATCTCCAAAAACTGACGAAGTGTCGGACGTGTGAAGGCTATCTTCCTGAGTTTGAGGCGATGGTGCGATGGGAGACGCAATGGTGATAGAAACCTCTCTAGTGACTCGCGTTCTTGGCGAAATTAAGCCGTCTCTCTGGAAGATGTCCAATGCCCCCTGTAGATTTGAAGTGTTTCTGTCGGTGTTCAACTGAGTGAGCGTAGAAATTCCAGGTAATACTGGTGCATCGGGTAGGCTCTTGAATACAGGTGCAGTGGGTGAATCGGCAACGAGTGAGATCAAACGCTCATTCCGGATCTCATCCATTGATTCAAGAGCTTCAAAGCTAGATCCTGTAGGGAGCGCAAAGATACCCTTGGTGTCGGAGGTTGGTATTTGTTTTATTTGAAGATCTGATCTCCGAATGGATTCTGAGCGAGCGCAATGGATAGCAGCATCGATGATGTAAAAATACTAAAGGACCGAAAAGATACCACGAAGAGGGATCAGCAGTTAGCTCGTTTTTTTCTATATTGGTAATTTGGAAACAAACCACTTGAATTAGGGTCATATAGCGACCCAGTGGCGTCTCGCTGAACGCAGTTATTTCCAAATCCATGATCTGCAAAGCGAATCCAACCCCATTTCCGATGAGGACTGGGCCAAGTTCTTTGACTGTGGAAGATACAATCAAGGACTTGAACATGAGCACTGTGTAAACAGACTTAGTCGTCAGTACGAGCTGTGAGGGGAAAGATCAAGAGTTCAAATAATGCAGAAAGCCTGGTCAGTTTTAATGAGTGCATGGATGTAAATCAGAAGTTGCTAGTATGGAAGACTCAACTAAAAGTAACATCTGAAAAGCTGCAGACGCCCTCAAGAACTGCAAAAAGTTCAGGGGAGCAGATACAATTCCAATCTTCCACACAGTATCTAGTATGGTAACAATCAAGATGATCATCAAGACCAAAATTTTCAATACTTTTGCATAAGGTCCAAGCCCGTCCCAGCTGGGCGTGGCCCACAGAGAGGAAGAAGTAGGTGGAATGATATCTTGTCTTGACACTAGAGACGCGCGATTCGACATTGCTGGCTCGAACCGAAAAAAAAGATATATATATTTGAACAAAGCTCCACCGGCGAGACTGAAGGTAGAAAGGAACAAACGGGTTAATCGGATCAATTTTGGTTGGCAATATCTTGGCAGTGGGAGAAATGTCATACAATGCTGCCGTAGCAATAGCGGTATTAGGTGATTTTCCATTTGGAGAAGCTTCCGTGCTTATGAGATTAGCCAATTCCAAGATGCCAGCTATGAATGTAAAAATTGCGGACAGTAGGATGAAAACCGTGACGACGTTCAATTGATCATTGAATGCGAGGATAGTGGATATGGCAATTGCAACGAAGCCAGTACTGATAGGAGGACTATAAAATTTGAACGGGAGATTATCAGCACGGATGTCTCTCCGAACAAAATCCTGGGAGGAAGAGAGCTCGTAGACCTACCAATTTGCAATCAATTGGATCGGTTGAGACAGTGAAGACCAGGTGGCAGCAGAAGGCCACATTAGCGCGAGCTGAGGTTGCGTAGCTGTCGTTATCCGAGTTTGAGGGGTCTGCTGCCGTTTCCAAAGAAGATCATTGAATTCATGGGTTATGGATGGCAATTGAGTTCGAAGTAATGGCGGTGATGGGGTGAGATGAGACGAGTCTACTAGAGTTGCTTGAGCAAGCCAGGGGCCGGTCAATAGACTTGTAACAGTGAGAGCAAACAGCATTCCAGTGTTGAGGATTCCTCCCCAAAGGAAAGAAAAAGAGAAAGAAAGTCGAACGTGTTGCAATCCAGTGCAATCTTAAGCGAGCGGTCGACGCGTCCGAACAGAAAAGGATTAAAAGAAGGAATACTTTCTGACTCCCACTTGCTGAGCGAGTTGTTTCGCGCAGACGAAATTGCGGAGATTGAAGCCACCTTGCTGTGCCATGGGCCTTTGAAATGGAAGTTGGAACTATAAGTCAAGTTAATCGGGCCCATGAAAACAAGTCAATGAATTCAACAAGGCATCGCTCTCGAGTCTCAGTCAACTAGCAATACATCTCACAGAACCAGACCAAACCATCACGATGTACGCGTTTACTCCCTCTCGACGAGGCAATTCGATGACTCGGTGCCGTAAATCGATCAGATTTACTCAACCTTGTTATCAGTTTGGGATGGGCCATCTTCCACATCTCAAACATCGACCGGTACGCCCACACCCATATCAACTTGAACAAGAGTGAAAAACTTTACCTACGCAAATCACTGTTCAGACTTTGCAGACTTGACATGCAGAATTGACAAAGGCTTTGGGCAATTTGGATTAACTGAAACGTGCAGAAGATATATTCAATTGCAAATAGTCACTGATGTCGTATGGTATGCTTAGTTGTATTGTAACGTATAGGGTAAAAAATCTAGTTCTCAGATGCACATAAGATGCTGTTTTTGATTTTGAAAATGAAATAAAGTGAGTCAAAAGAAGAAACTTTCAAGTAACCTGAGTCATTCCAACTTGTCATAAAATTCGTTTCATGGCGATAAAACTAAGGTGAGCAGAGCCATGCGAACCTAAACAAGCATACAAGGTTGAAAGTTAGATAGGATCAAGGATCATAATATTAACAGAGAAAAGACGTACAAATAGACCATGTCGCATTTGTCGGAAGTAAGCCGCTCTGAGTGGGTCGAAATCGACCTCTGGGTCAATTTCTGTATTACGAGGCAAAGGATGCATCACAATCATATGCTTCTTTGCCTTACTGAGCAAGTCATTGTTGACTACGTATGCATTCTTGACTGCTTCATAGCTTGCTTGACTCGTAAATCTCTCTTGTTGCATTCGCGTGACATATAGCACATCCGTTTCAGCAATCACTTTCTCCAAGCTTGAAAACTCTTGAAATTTGATACCAGCCCGGGAGGCCACACTCTTAACGCTATCGGGCATATTGAGAGATGGTGGGGAGACGAAGTTGATGTTGACTTGATACAAGGAAAGGATCTTCACTAAACTATGTACCGTTCGTCCGTTCTTCAAGTCTCCTACCATAGTGATTGTCAAGCCGTTCACAGTTCCTAACTCTTCACGGATGGTGTAGACATCCAGAAAAGCCTACCAAAAATGAAGAAACCACTCTTTAGCTTTAGCTTACATACTCATAGATGAGGCTTGAAACTTACCTGTGTAGGATGTTCACCGATTCCATCCCCTGCATTGATGATAGGGACTGATGAAACTTTAGCTGCACTTTGAACACTACCTGCTGCGGGATGTCTCAATACGACAGCATCACCGTAGCATCCCAAGGTTCGGATCGTATCTTCTAATGATTCGCCTTTGGCAGCGGACGATTTGTCGGCGGAGATTGAGACTACTCGACCTCCTAATCGACACATTGCTGCTTCAAAGGAGGCTGATGTTCTCGTGGAGGGTTCGTAAAACATTGAACATATGACTTTCCCCTTGAGGATATCCAAGACTCCGTTGCGTTCGACTTGTGTTCGCAACTCTTGCGCTACATTGAAGAGTCCGTGTAGGTCATGTCGGGTGAACTGCTCAACGGTCAAAATGTGTCGACGATAGAAAGCGGGATCGCGTTCGAATGTGACAATGGGAGGCGAAAGCCTTTGGGGGATGGGTGGGAATGAAAGTTGCTGAGAATCATTGATGCGCATGGCCCGAGAGCTTGCTCCTTGGTTCTTGTTCTCCGTATGTGAGAGCGAGAGGAAACTTGGTTGCGATGTGCCTCCATTTGGCAGTAGATTAGGAGATGTGATTCCTAGCGCCAGAGGTGAGCGGATACCCGAGATATCAGGCGAGCCTACAGCACCGATAGCAGGCACCATATTCTTGGGAACCAGGTGTGTCGAAGATTTGGGTTTGGGATCGAGTGCCGGGCGATTTGCCGATGTGAAACAGTCAGTTAGGTAATCACCCGTTCCGGCCTTCGAGTGCGAAAAGCCGTCCAAATAGATCGTCTCGTCACGGAAAACCACACGATGAACTGTACCGTTAAAGACTTGATCCTGAGTGGGGGACCAGGTGGACTTTGAGAACCTGTTTGGGCGGTCGACTTGAACTTCCATATAAGTACCTTTGGGGATAGGCAAATTGAAGATCTTGGCAGGATTGTCTGAGCATCGAGAGGTCACATCCTCCATTGTCAAACGACCATCACTTATGGCAGCTAGTAAGAGTTGAGTCGATTCTTCATAACCATCTCCGGGGACATACGGTTTTTCTAATTGGACAGCGAGTTCATAGGGGACGCTTCCAACAGAGAAGGTATCGATGTGCTCTAGATTCTCCCATATGACTTCTTGATCATGAAGAGTTGGCAAGCATGTCGCCTGGGGATAGTCGGTTTGATTCAAGAATAGCGTGTAAACTGCAACGTCGGCGGTGACTTGTAGTCCTTTCTTTTTGCTCAATGCGATTAACTCTATATCAGCGGCAGACCCAACGTTGATCACATGTACACTTCGGTCATGAAGACTAGCAAGTAATAAGACTGATGCCAGGTCAGTGGTTTTAGCATCAGTCATGATCGGTTTGTCGTATGGCCAAGAGGCGAAGTGGGCTGCAATCGCGACGGCTTGATTGACGTCACCTGGTAAACGTCTGAATGGTAGCATCAACGCACTTGCGTGGTCGCAAAGATGAGAGTCGAGGGTAGAGACATTGTGAGAAGTAGCTGCGACGGAGAAAGAGTAGTTGCAATGAGCTCGTCCAGAAGCAGATGCTTTGGCAGACTCCAAGACCTTGCTATCGTCCAAACGGCCAGTGGTACCAACAGCCAGACACTGCAACACAAGGTATCCAGCACGTACAGCTGCATGCGAGAGTTGTTCGAGAGAGTTTGCTTGAATGTCATTCAGATTGTCGACAAAAGCGGCAGAGTCGATGAAACCTGGGAAGCGGATTGTCTGATGGGAGGATTTGGCGTCCGTGGAGCTGATAGACAATGTAGGGTACCTAGCCAATCCCTCGATCAAGATTTTGGCATTCTTCACATTGGTGATCAATGGGATCGCATGATCAATAGCAGTCCTTCGAGCGCGATAACCACGTGAGATGTGCTGTTGAGGTCGTCTGAATCGATTTCGACTGGGTAAGTTGATGAACAAATCGACCTTGCCTTGTTTCAAATGATCGATCAAAGAATATTCTGCTTTTTGTCCCTTGGCCTCTTCTTCCGAAGAGAAAGCCTCTAAGAATTTGCACGGAATGCCATGTTCCTGTAGAATGATGGATGTGAGCATCTTTATCGAGTCAACTATTAATCATGATAACTTGGAAATTGGACTTACGCTGATGAAGTCATTTGTTCCAGCAGTACCATAGATTGTATAGCCTAGTCGGTAAAGACGCTGCACAGATGGCAGCATCTCCAATTTATCGGCGTAAGCACCAATAGAGAAGAGAACACTTTTCTTTGGTAGCCGAACGTTGGTAGCCAAGATAGCTTTTAGGTAAGCTTCATACTTGTCTTTTCCGAAACAAGCAACTTCCCCAGTTGAGGCCATCTCGACCCCGAGAACAGGATCGGCACCTGCCAAACGACTGAAACTGAATTGAGGAGCTTTAACTCCAACATACCCAGGTGGAAGATTGCGCGGTGGATATGCTTGAACAGGGAATCCCAACATAACATCGGTGGCCATTGCAACGGCATCGACTCCAGTGACTTTAGAAACGAAAGGGAAAGAACGCGAGGCACGAACATTGCACTCAATCACCTAAGAAGTGATAAAATTGATCAGCTCACTACCCAATCAATGAGAAGAAGCTAATCATAAAAAAACTTACCTTGATGTCATTATTTTTAGCGATGAATTGAATGTTGAACGGTCCGGTGATATTGAGTGCGTTCCCAATCTTTTGGGTGGCGATTTCGATGCGTCGAACTGTCTCAGGTTCCAAGTCTTGAGGAGGAAGTATAAGTGTTGCATCACCAGAGTGGACACCCGCATTCTCAACGTGTTCGCAAACGTAATGCATGACCAGTTTCCCATTCTGGGCAACTGCATCCATCTCGATTTCTTTGGCTCCTTCGATATACTTGGTGACTACGACTGGATACTCGCGAGAAACTTGTGCTGCTTGAGCAAGATAGGCAGATAGATCATCACCCGAGTAGACCACGTTCATAGCAGCACCTGACAAGACGTAGGACGGTCGCACCAAGACGGGGTACCCCACAGCGTCACAAAAAGTGTGGGCCTCGGCAATAGTAGTGAGCTCCTTCCATCTAGGTTGATCAACACCAATCTTGTCAAGCATTCGTGAGAATTTGTACCGGTTTTCTGCATTGTCGATCATTTCCGGTGAAGTTCCTAGGATCTTGACATTCTGACGATGTAAAGGTAAGGCGATGTTGTTTGGGATTTGCCCACCCATCGAAATAATCACTCCACTAGATTTTTCGGTCTCGTAAATGTCGAGTACTGTCTCGAGACTGATGTTTTCGAAATACAGACGATCGGCTTCATCGAAATCTGTGGAAACCGTCTCTGGATTGTAATTCACCATGATAGTTCGTAATCCACGACCGCGTAGTGTACGGATCGCTCGAACAGCACACCAATCAAACTCGACCGATGATCCAATACGGTAGACACCCGATCCTAAAACGATAATTCCCCTATCCTCAAAAGTAACATCATTTTCTACTGCATTGTAAGTGGTGAAGAGATAATTAGTGAAGGCTGGGAATTCTGCTGCCACCGTATCAATTTGCTTCACAAATGGCATGATTCCAAACTCGACCCGAATCCGACGAATAGCAAGCTCGTTGGAATTCAAGAATCTAGCAAGTTGATAATCCGAAAATCCGTGTTGTTTGGCGTAGCGCAATAAGTCAACAGGAAAGTGTGAAGCATTATATTTTCGAATGCTTTGTTCCATCAAAACTATATGCTCAAGTTTACGTAAGAACCATCTATCAATCTTTGTAATTTCCCAGACTTTCTCAACCGTCCACCCAGCATGCAATGCATTGGCAACAGCAAAGATTCGGCGATCCGTTGGATTTCGCAACTCAGTCTCCAGTTCGGCGTCGGAGACGATTGTATTTTTATCGAATCCAGTGAACGAAGGATCTACGGACCTAATCGCTTTTTGAATCGTTTCTTCAAAGGTCCGTCCAATGGCCATGACCTCACCCACGGATTTCATACTGCTACCAAGTTGACTGGATACCCTTTGAAATTTCTTCAGATCCCATCGCGGCATCTTTACCACACAGTAGTCCAAGCTAGGTTCGAAGCATGCGGAAGTCACCTTGGTGACTGTGTTACGGATCTCGTTGAGAGGAATTCCTAAGCCAAGTTTGGCTGCGATGAAGGCTAGTGGATATCCAGTAGCTTTAGACGCTAAGGCAGACGAGCGAGAAAGTCGAGCATTGACTTCGATGATGGCGTACTCTTTGGAGTCAGGATTAAGAGCGTATTGTATATTACATTCACCTGATATCAAAACAGATTGGTAAATGTCAGATCATGAAGTTGGAAACTCAAGAACATGAGATTACTGACCCACTACACCCAAATGACGAATGACATTGATAGCCGTTGTTCGAAGCATATGGTAATCGGCATCCGAGAGTGTTTGCGAGGGTGCCACCACAATAGAATCACCAGTGTGAATACCCAGCGGGTCGAAATTCTACATGGGTTGACTATCGTTAGCATTCAGATGTAGGGTGCATGCTTGTGAACTTGGCTCACCTCCATGTTACAGACAGTGATACAATTATCCCTACAATCTCGGACAACTTCATACTCAATTTCCTTCCATCCCTTCATACTTCTTTCAATCAAAACTTGAGTACTGATAGCAAAAGCTTTGCCACAGAGTTCTACCAATTCTTCTTCGTTATTAGCAAACCCACTTCCAAGTCCACCCAAAGCAAAAGCCGCTCGTAGAATCACTGGATAACCAATTGTACTAGCTGCTTTGATACTTTCCTCCACAGAAGTAGCTGAAGCACTCATCGCACATTTTTCACCAATCTCCAGCATGGCAGAAGCAAACATTTCACGGTCTTCTGTTGTGACGATTGTAGAGATCGGCGTTCCCAAGACTTGTACACCCAAACCTTCAAATTCGTTAGCCATCGCAATTCCAACACCAAGAGCAGTTTGACCACCAAATGTACAATAGATTCCGTCAGGTCTTTCGTATTGAATCACTTTTCGGACAAATTCAGGTGTGACCGGGAGAAAGTAGACTTTGTCAGCGAGCCCTTTACTAGTTTGAATAGTGGCAATGTTCGGATTGATCAAGATAGTATAAACTCCTTCTTCTTTGAGGGCTTTGATGGCTTGACTTCCAGAATAATCGAATTCACCAGCCTGACCAATGGACAGTCCACCACTACCAAGCACCAAGACCTTTTTGACCGTAGCCCTAGGATTTTTAGCAATGTTTTCATGAATATCACCACCGGGCATGGTGACCGGAAGAAAGGTCTTGTCCTGAGCGAAGCGAAGTACGCTAGCAATGAAAACGTCGAAGAGAAATTCTGTGTCTTTAGGTCCTGGGGCACTCTCGGGATGGAATTGGACACTAAAGAATGGATATTGAGTTGAGTAAATGCCTTCATTACTTTGATCATTGGCGTTTACGAATAATTCCTTCCAGTCGCTAGGAAGAGTAGGGGTGTCGACAGCATAACCATGATTTTGAGATGTGATATAACAGCGTCCAGACTGGAGGTCTGTACAGGGGATGTTTTGACCTCGGTTACCGTATTTGAGCTTAACAGTTTTGGCGCCAGCAGCTAAAGCTAATAATTGATGACCAAGACAAATTCCGAAGATAGGGAAAGACTTCAACTGAATCGCTTTGCGGATCTCGAGGATTGTACTTGCTACCATCGTAGGATCACCGGGTCCGTTGGAGATGAAGAGACCATCGAAAGACCCTTCCGGTTCAATTGATGGGTTCAGAAAGTCATGGTCATAAGGAACCACTTTTAGTTCGACTCCTCGACGAATAAAGCATCGAATTTGATTTTCTTTCATTCCGACATCCAAGGCCAGAATTCGGATAGGTCGGGATTTGGTGGGATGCATGAGGATATGTGGCTCTGCATTTTGGGAGCAAATTTCCATAGGTTGATAAACCTTTGGTTCTTTGCGAGACACCAAAGAAACTAGATTTTCGACATTGGGATCATGTAATGGAATATCAATGTAATCTGAACGCCAGGAGTCTTTGAGGAGGCTGAATGCATTCAACTTTGGAAAGTTGGTTTTTTGAATCAAAGGACTGCCACAATTCGTCTCATTTTTGGCCAAAAGTTTCGCAAGCATCACACCTCGTTCACGGATTTTTTTCGTCAAGACTCGGGTATCCAATCCATAGACAGCAGGGATGCCTTCAGCTTGAAGCCATTGACCTAAAGAGCTGTTAGCCAAGTGATGACTGTATTCGAGCTCTTCTCCACTATAACAGCCAACAACGAGGGCAGCCACGTGAATTCGTGAAGATTCGAAATAAGCAGACAATCCAGACGTCGAAAAAAGCTCGTCTCGGTCGGGAACACCATAAGATCCAATGAGTGGATAGGTTAGGACCAAGATCTGGCCTTCGTAGGACGGATCGGTGAGCGATTCGGGGTATCCCACCATTCCTAAGAGACAAGAGGGATTGAAATTGATGTCAAAACATCAGCATTTCGCATCATATTGAAAAACTTGATAATAAAATTTATGAACCAGTTTGGAAAACGCATTCGCCGCTAACGCTCTTCCCTGGACAGCCAAAGCTGTAACCCTGGTAAACTGTACCATCAGCCAGTTCGAGAACCATACTTTTCTTCGATAGCGCTTCTCGACCGTCTAGGTTCCCATCTTCACTTTCGCCAGCTGTAGCAGTGTAAACAGCGGAAAGTGCCGCAATAGAAGGACATGCTGAAGGTAATGTAGGGATCCCTCTTCGAGTGCCAGAAATCGATGGTGAGCGGGACAAAACGGGTGATCGACTATGTCCCAAAACACACAATTCATCCGCGAATCAGACAAACTTGCAGGTAAATCATGATGATAAATTTTAAAAAGTTCAGAATAAGGTTGACAGACACTCCGCCCGGTCCTTTGATGGCCGCTGCTCGTCGGGACGCAACATCCATTGGTTCATTCATTCCGTTAGTACCGTTTACAGAGCTGGCCTCCGACATGGGTTTCGTAAAGGTAGACATCTTGTTTCCGACTTGAAATCAAAGAAAAAATGTACCCTGTGGTTGCCTCGCGTGGTTTACTGACTGATGAGGTAGGATGTATAAAAAATTGATGCTATAGCGAAAGATGAAAAGATGAGAGTGTTTGACTAGAAGTGTTGAAAGCTGCTTTTGAATTTGTCGGAAAATTTGCACATTAAAATTGATCCTTCAGGGTGCGTCTCGGAAGATCCAACAGATGGTGTTTCAACTTTTTTTTTGGATCGGAGCATTGAAGAGAAATTTTACCTCGACTGTAGCATATGTGGGTGATGTGGGATTGTAACTGTAGCCTTCTATTGAGTGACTCTCGGACTTAATCACATGACGCGTGTGTTAGTGTAGCCTACACGCGCACACACAGCTTACATAATTCCTCATTCCTCTCCACAACATTTCCAAGATGCTTGACGAATTAACCACAAGATTCATCTTCAGCATTCAGCAGAACCAGATTGACCTGTCCCAAAAATCTTTTATCCAAATATCCAGACCTCATAGAGATAGATTCCTCATCCTCCACTTGAGTTGATTGACTCAAGAATCTCAAGCATGTGCTTTGGCTCATCAACATTTCAAACTAAACTAAAACTCTTCTATAATCGACTGATGAGGAACTTGTTTTAGATAACACTATTCGAGCTGATGATCAGTAGGCTCACAATTAAATCATACAAAAGACAACATCAAACAGGTAAGGAATTCGAAGGTGTTTCCGTGACACTCCGTGGATGTCCGTTGGCGAATCGATAGATCTGCCAACGTTTTTTGTTTCGAAGATACAAATTCATAACTCTTATCACTTCTTGGCTTCCGAAGTGCACAACTAAAGAGAATGCATTCACCTTGATTATGCTTCTTTGGTCTGGTGGTCTCTGAATCTTCCAGTTTGAAGATGCGCTATTCGTGATCTTTCTTTTCCCGTACTTTGCCGGACCGTTTTGAGCTGATGCAAAACATTAGACCTACAGGCCATGTTTACCTGAAGTCAGGCAGACTCACAATTGTCTTCAAGTTCTATGTCACAGAAATCAACCCAGTACATATCTACTTTCAACTCATTCTCACAACTAACTGATTCGAATCTTACCCGCTAATCTCATCATACCCAAAAAGAATCACATTTATAATATTCCTTTCTCACAAATCTATTATAATTTATATGATGTTATTTTTCAAGTGTTTTTTAGAAAAATGATAGTATATTGTGTAATAAAAATTGTTCAAAGAATATAACGAAACCCCCTCTCCACCTCAGAAGTCAAAACAAAAAAAATCAAGTTATAATTATAAAAAAATATAAGATAATAAATGAGTGATATCGTAATAAAAAAAAAAAAAAAAAATAACAAATCAAATCAAAACTATTTTTTTTGATTATTATAGATTAAACTTAAATTAATTGTCCAATTTATAAGGGAAAAAAAGATTGTAAGAAAAAAAAACCCACAAAAGAGACATAGGAAGAGAGAGAAGAAAGAAAAAAAAATCAATCAAAACAACCAAAACAACTCCTTTTGACACAAAAACTATCAAAGAAAAACAAGAAAGTTAACGAAAAAGAGATTCTGAAATAAAAAAAAAAGAAAAATCATGGATAATTAAAAAGAGGGTTAATTAGGTAAGTAAAACTAAAAGTCATAAAGTTTAAACGATTTAAAAGAAATTAAAAGAAATCGAAAATATAAATAAATCAAAAAAAAAATGATGATGATGATAATGATGATGACGATTTAGGAAAAAGAAAAAACTTTTTTTTAGCAATTCCAATAGATAAGAACATAAAAAAGAAGATGGTGAGCAAAAAAGGAATGTTCAGTTACATCCATCCACCTTAACTTAAACAAAAACACAAAAATGACGTTCTTCTTCAACTTGATAATCTGTTGATAAACCAAGACCAGACACTCAAAATCCTCTTCCCTCCGTTCAAAAAGAAAGAAAAAAAGAAATTAATCAAAAAAAAACCTAATACCCCAAAAGACAAAATAAATAGAAAGAAATCTTTAAGAACGCTAAAACCCGATTGACAAAGATCATGAACTTGAATGATCTTCAAGAACTTGGAAATGCTAAAGCCCGTGATTGACTATTACTAAGTGTAGTAGAAGAATCAAAATAACTTTTAAAGGCTGAAAAATCTTCACTAGGTTGTTTTGAGATGCTCATTCCACTCTGACGAAGTGTTTGAGTAGTATGATGTCTTGGATCCACATTATCCGCATTATTCACAAAGTTTCGTTTGGTGGTCACCAGTGTTGTTGCCGAATTTCGTGTTCGAGCTTTATGATTGACACTTTTACTCATCGGTGGTGATGGGGGTCCTGTACTACCTGATCGTCTTCGAGATGCAGTAGGGGTTCCGTTCGCCCCAGTTGGATTTTGTCCTGACGTACTGCCTGCTCGTCGTCTTGCGGTGATCGGTGGTCTAGTGACAGGTGGAGGTGATTGTGCTCGATTGGTCGAATACTGAAGTGCATTACTACCCGCTTGCATCTTCTTCGCCAACGTGCTTGTCGTGGGTGTCTCATATCGATACTGAGATGCGAGTGGGAGAGTCGTGTTAGGCCCTGTATAGGCACCTGAATGACCCGTTGGCGGACGCTGAGAGGGAGGGGACGCGCATGCAGATAGACTGCCAGATGTACTAGCGCTGGTTGCATTACCAGCAGGCACTCGATTGGAAAATTTGCTAACAGCGTTAGTCTTCTTGTTGATGACAGATTGTGTGGTTGGGGATAGAACTCGAGCGGGAGGCGCCGCTTTGCTGAAGGTGACGGAGGATGTGGCCAGTTGGGAACCTTTCATAGTGTTCGTCATGGGCTTCAAAACGTTGGATGCAACTGGTCTTGGATCATCCAGGTCGTATGAGAAACTAAGTCAAAGATGATCAATTCAGTTCGTATTATGGCTGATCATCACTCCGAAATGATTAAATGACAAACCTCATCTCGCTTTCCCGTCGCATACGTTCATAGTCGCCAGTACCAGACTGCTGGATGGTTTCTGACTCCTCATCTCCATCAGGCGATTGTATCTGGACTCGAAGCTGAGGTTTGGATCCAACTGTTTCGGAATACGATTCCTTGATGGATGTCTTTTCATCTTCGAGTAGCTTGTTAGCCTCGCCTAAAACGATCGATGGGTGTCTTTCCCATCGTTCAATCTTGATGAATTTATAAAGGTTACGTTCTCGACCTGGTAAGGATCTCCTCGTTTTCTTTTTGTCCTTTGATGATGATGAAAATGTGCTGGTTGACATTCTGGTCACTCCAACTCTCTGACATCGAAGAATTACATCCGAAAATACAACTAGCCAGACATCCCGTTTGGATCCCATCGTTGGTTCTTTGGCTTCAGAGCCAATCATATCCGATAGTCTCCTAAAGGACTTTTGACCTTTCAATATTCTCAAGCGATCTGCCGTCGATTTGTGATCTTTCTTGAACATCGGGGTCTGAGAAGGAAGCGCCTCAGGAGCGGGATGAGTAGGCGTCGTGGGCCGGCTGCCTTCGGCTGCGTCGGATAATGTGCGTTTCTCTTTTCCAGGGATTGGTTTCCATACTGATTCTTCGGACATTAAGAGTCTATCACTCTTGGGAACCATCAATACCTTCAAGGATCGAAACCGAATATTAAAGTGATCAGGATAGTTTACAAGGATTGCGGAGAGAGGCAAGATAAGCTACCTTTTCGTTCATCCCTTCGATCCGGGACCAGGCGTCACGCGCTTTGTCCCTTTCCTCCTCACTGATCTTTTCGTCTTCAATACTTCTCACAATACTATCAATCGAGATAGCCATGGCATGGGCACTTTCGTACTCATGCGTTGAGGCATCGGTGCTGTTGAGGAACAAGCTGATCAGCGAAAAGACACAAGTTGAAGCTCAGCCAGGAAGACTGACTGATATAACAAGTTTTGAAATAAAAGTGGATATTTTAGCAACCTCTGAAAAGGTTTTGACAGACAGATAGCCAATCCACATTCACCCTGCTTAGCAGCATTCTCTTCCAATTGCTGTACCCAATGAGCATACCACACTCAGTAAGATGGAGAACAACATATGTGCAGTGTGAGATGAACGCACCATTATGAGCTTTGCAAAACGTTTTTGAGATTTCGTAACACCTGACGCTTTGGGACCAGCGGCTGCCAAAGCTTCTTCAACGTCTCTCAAAGCTCTCTCGAGATGCATGACATATATACTATATATCTGAATGATCCAAGACTAAAAAATTTGCGACTTTGGATGAGCAAAGCCAGATGAAATAAAGAGATATAGAGGGCAAAGAGATCATACCTGCTCAGCCCAAACAGAAGTCAGATCTCGGACCAATGGAAACTGTTCCAGGTACTTTGTTTTCAATTGAACACTAAGATCCTCATGACCGCGAAACATTCCTTCGTCGATGATGTTGAAGACAATCCGAAGTGATTCAGGCAATAAAAATTCATAAGAAGATTCAATTCCAATACCGTTCAAAGTTTGATTGTGATTCTTATGAAGCTTGTTAGATATAGGAGGTCTTAGATACTGCCGCAGGCCTTTCAAGGTTGTATTCGAGCTTGTCTTAGGTTGGTTGATCGATGAGGATGATCGGTTCGGATGGTTAAGACCATTGTAAGTCTGATGATGACCACTAGCAAAGTCCGGGAGCGAGTTCTTTTTTGTGCGGCTACCTCCGCCTCGAGTCTCAGACGTTCTAAGGGTGTTACTTTGACTCGATTTTTTCCCATTCGTCAGTTCGCCTAATCCATCTGGTGAAGTCAGGCATGTCTGGTTAGGCTGATGAAAGTCCTCTGACTCCATATCTGGAATATTATCACCGCTTCGATTGGACAATGAGATATGAGACTGAGGTGATGGACTACGAATGAAGCGGGCGGCGATCGGAAGAAGATCGGAGTTATTGTTCGGAGGTGTGGTGATTGTTGGGCAACTTGAATTCGCTGTGCTGCTTGGGACAGGACTTTGACAGAAAGGCGAAGTGACTCGACTCGATGGAGGTGGGGGAGAAGTTAGCGCAGGAGAGATGAGAGGATGAAGCAAAGGGCTGATGTAGTTGCTCCTCAACGACTGTGACAAATTTAAGCGAAGGCCTTCAACACTATTGCAACTAACGTTTGGGTAAAGGCTTCAAAAGAACGTACGACTAGTTCTGACACATATCTTTCTTCACTTGCCACTATTTCCCACAAGACCTCCTGGCGGGTCCGTTCCCGACCACTTAGATTTTCGACCAGATCCATATCAGTCATTTCACTCCATGTCATCGGCTGATAAATGTCTTCACCCATTCGTCCTCCAATGAGGTTGCCTCCCCATGTCTGAGCTGGTCCGATAGTCATTCCCCCTGAAGATCGACGACCAGACTGACTGTAGCTCATGAATGAAAGAGGACTGATAGCTCTACTCTCGGCCAGTGAACCGCTGCCTCTGTCATTACCATGATCATTGGCGGACCCAGGAGAGGTAAATGATGGAAGATAGCCATGTTGACTTCCTGAAGAGCCTGAGGCTCCGATCCCATCGGGTCGCCAATTTCTAAGTGGTGAAGTCATGCTTGAGGGTGGATGATGGAAAGACTGACTGCTCGCAGTATGAGTTGCCCGACCGGATGAAGGGCCCGATGTACTCGTCGCCGGACGATGAGAAGGAAGAGACGGTATGAGTGCTGGTGGTGATGGTGGTCGAGTGGTGGCTGCAATCACGATAGCAAGGGCGTGGCGGAGAGGGAGAAGACAATGAGAAAGAGGATCCACGTGAACAAGGATGGTCGAGTCAGCTTCGTGGGTTCGTAAACCATGAGGCAAGCATACGGTGGAGTGAAAATCGAATGTACGACATTAGAAAAGAAAGAGAGAGAGTGCACAGATTTTGTTGGTCAGATTCGAGGGATACTACAGAATCTCAGGCAAGGGTCTATACCCTCAGTTTAGCTCTAAGAATACGATTCAAGTCTCATAGACAATTGATATAACGTCCAGAGGCAAAGACCTCGTGACATCCTTCATGTGCTGAGCGCTACCGCTCAATTGCAATGATGTGCGATGAAATCCTCAAGATGAAAAAAGCTCTGTATGGACATAGGGCCTGTTGGTACTCACCAGAAGTATTGGGTGGGCTAACGAAGGCAACTTGACGTTTGTCCTTGGTGTCATTGTGACCTGAGGTAGCTAAATCAAGCGAATGATGAGCGAGTGACTTATGCTTCAAATTGGACTTGCGGCGATTGAGATTTTGAGAAAGAACATTACGATTGTCATCGAGCATCTGCAAGCCGAGTCCAGATCGATCGGCAATATGAGTGGGCGGAGTTTCAAAGAGATTGACTTTATCTCTTACGCTAGCTGAACTTGCAGATGGTGGTGAATTATTGGATCCTGCAGCTGATGTAGGCGAATCAGGACCTGACTTCTTCCGAATGAAAAATTTGCGCATTTTGAGTGGTAAGAAGAGTAAGGATCAGAGATTGAAGAGATAGGTCGGTGTATAAGGGTGAGGTCGAAAGCTGGGGTTGAGGATGGCGTAAGTAGACCAATATGGTATGGGAGTGTTGAATGTTGATCGAAAGGATTGATATCAACGTATATGAAGTCCCCGAAGTTGACTAAACTGATTGATAGCAGATCAGCCGTGTAGTGTCGAGGCCTTGAGGTGAGACCGCAGGAGAAGTTGATCTTGGTCGAACGCGCAAGACACGACTCACAACGAATGGCGAAAGATGACGTAAGAGCGAAGCGAAAGGTTTGAAATTCCGAATGGAAAGACTTGAAGATGTATGTAAGGTATTGAAGCAAGGCCGGGGTGTAAACAGTGAGTAAGAACAGTTGCAGGTCCTAGTTTCTCAACTGATTGCTCTTCCTAAGTAACGTAACTCGACAGAGATGGTGACCAGTGTCTGGGATGTATAGAATTAAGCTTTGAAGAGATCCCTGGGGTGGTCAAAAGTGTGTCTGTCCCGAAGAATCAGCCCAAGGACAGTGAGTCTAGAAAAGGAGTTTTGAAGAAATCCAGGTGTGAGAAGCGTGACCGAAAGTATTGGCAGATTAAGAGGCGACGGGTCTATATGTAGTCGGAACGAAGCGAGTTTGATTTGAGAATTGAGAATAATGAGTTTTTCTAATTTTAGTCGATCTGTGTTAGCGTAAATTGGAATTCGTAGAAAGTTGTGAATAGTCAAGTTTGATTGGTAGATTGATTCGTTTGTTTGTTAAATCGATTGAATGAGATGATATCCAACAGACACTCTTTTCTGGTATTAAAATTCTAAAATGTTCAACTTGAGGGGTCCATTTGATCAGACTGACTTGGCATCTTATTATGAGTGAGTTGAGTAGTGAGTGTATGAGGATGAGTATTTATCTACTATTCTAGTCAAAGTTAAACTTGTGAATCCTTGATGATGTTCTAATTCGTTCCCAAGCTTATGTAAAGTCTTTTCTTTCGAATATCTTAAAATATTCAAGTTTTCTTCAACTTTTTTCCCATAAATCATATTCAATTAATCTCAAACCAATCCAATCAAACTCATTCAACTTCTTCATCTACTTATCAATTCTCATTCAGGCTTCAAATTTCAAACCAATCAATCTCAAAATCAAAAACTGCAAGTAGACTAGATCATTCCACCTAATTTTAAACTCGATCCACTTTCAGCATTCAACTTGGAGAACTGGATTCTAATTCATCAAAGATCAAAAAACAAGGCTAGCCACCCACACATACTCCAACATTCTAGATCATCCTACTCCCTTACTTGACTCAAGTCTGGAATAAGTCTCATACATTACAACCAAACCAAAAGGAGACTTAATTAATTCAATCTTATCCACAATCAAAACACTCCAGATACTCTCTTAACATTTGCTCACAGAGAGTTCTAATCTACCCCTAATCAATATTCTTAGAAGTGAATTTGAGCCATTTATAGATCCTGAGTCAGCACATTTACAAGTGATCCAAAATCCTCAAGGATGGAAACCTGTGAAAATTATTCATTTCTAAAGATTCTTGGAAGAGAAAAATCCAAAAGTGATAAGACAAATGTCAAAAAAATAGTTAATCCACAGATGTCCAAAAAGTCAACAAATTCACTTGCTCCTACTAGATGGCCAATCCTCAAAGGTAAACTTGTCTCTCTCTTATTTAACTTGTTTAGTTAGTGTTGTATGCAATTAAAGCCAAGTAGCACTTTAAAAAAACCCTTGCTCCAAGGGTTTGGGGGCGGGAGTGTCAGGGATTTGGGTCCAGGGCTCAGCCTGACTTCCAATGCAACCACAACTGCTCTCAAAGATGGGCTTGGGGGCTATGCCCCAAGTTTGGCCAGAGACTGGAAAATTTTTCAAGTGGTTTTGCTTGAAATCCCTTTTTGAGGGCTCTAAACAATGTGAAACCTTGAAATAAATTCAGCCGAGCTTCTCCAAGCTTTTCAAATTTTCCTCATACAAATTTTAGCCTGTCACCACTCTTGTATTGTGCAAAAACATGATTCTGATATCAAGTGACTTTGAAGGGTTCAGCACACAAACCTACACACACACACAGAAAAACCAATTTTAGAATTACCATTTTTTATAAAGCACTCCAATTTTGAATTACTACACTCATCTTGTCACTGCAAAGATAATGTAATTTTCCAAGGTGAAAAATGATCGAGTTTAATGCACAAAATGATTAATAATGCAGAATTAATGCAGAATTAATGCAGAAAAATGCAGAAAAATGCAGAATTAATGCAGAAAAATGTAGAATTAATGCAGAATTAATGCAGAATTAATGCAGAATTGATTATTTTGTAGAATAAATGTAATCATTTTTCACCTTGGAAAAATACATTATATTTGCAGTGTGTAGATCTCATGATTCTGAGCAATTAGGGGATACAAAGTTAAAACTGGGAGTTTTTTTCCAGTTTCCCAGTTTTCAAAATACAGCCAAAAACACAAACTGGGAAACTGGGAGAACGTGGGAAAGTTCCAAACACAGCCAAAAACAAAAACTGGGAAACTGGGAAAAAAATCCCAGTTTTGACTTTGTATCCCACAAATCTTAGAGCATCTCCACTGCTGGCATGTAAAAAAGTACTCTGTACAATGACCTTTTGACAGGTCTCAGCCTGTATGCCAGATTTGCACAGAGGTAGGCAAAACCGTGGCCATGTAAAATCGGGCAGGTGAAAACAGTATATGCTTTGAATCCAAGCATAGGATTGTTCAACTCGTCCAAAATAACAGGGAAGGTCAGACAATATTTTAGATTTTGGTGATCTTTGGCTTTTTGTATGCCATCCAAATTTGCACTCTCCCGGTCAAGATTTGGACGTTGTGTAACCCATACAGGCTGTTTCCACGGTCCAATGGCTCAAATATTTTCCCACAAGAGGTGAAAACAGCCTGTATTGGAGATTTTGCACTGCCTGGTGGCAATGCTCTGAGGGCATGACATGACCTACAACATGTCCGGGTAGTGTTTGCTTGTTGACAAGCATGCACAACTTCCCTTTCTGCCTCAAAGGGAGTCGGTGTGTGCTTGTCAATGAGCAAACCCTACACGGACACAGTGCTACTTTTCATGTGTGATAAATGAGTAATTGAGCTGTCAAGATTGACAAAATCAACCTTTTGTGTTGTAAATGCTGTTACATGTGTGTTAGCACAAAAGTTGAAATTCACGCCATTCTCTTTGATTTCTTATAATGTTTCCACAAATCCTTCATTACAAGTGGAGTAAAGTTTGTAAATTATGAAATGGAACATTCTACATTGATTGAATTATCCATTTCTCCTCATTTTTCTTTCTTTCTGGGAAATGTTATGCCCTCGACAGGTCTTCAACCTGTTGAGGATATAACTGTATGGGCTAGAGGCCCTCTCCTAACCAGAGGTTCAAGAGAGGGCCAGTTTTAAGGAAATCCATCTTCATTCTGGCAACTTTTGATGAGGAGTCTATTTACTCAAAGACCTTATCAAAATCAGAACATGAAGATGAGATTCCTTAGAAAGAAGTGAGTATGGAGAGCCATAGTCTCCCTCAGGGGGGTATGTCTCTCCTAAAAAGAAGGGAGGGTGGGATGGACAAAATTTCTTCTTAATATTAGATATTAATATTTGTTAAGAAAAATTTGAAAACGGATTCAGGATGGGGTGTAACAGACTGACAAAAATTTAAAAATGCAAGAGACAGATAGGCACATAGGAGGGAGAGTTGGTGGTGAGCACCATTCTTAAGTATAACTTGAGAATTCATCTCTGTAGTTATACTTTGACCAGTGGCGCAAATATGGTCATAGGCAATGTGCTTACGAAAGACTGCCGGAATTGTGTAAATACCCACAGGGGAACTTTGGGTAAAGTCCGTCTCTTCCTACCTGATTTTGTTCATCACTCATACTGAGGTACGTTGTCATGGACTTGCTTTACACTTTGTGCCTTGTGAAAAGACTGATCACCCATCCTGATCTGACAAGTTTTGACATATGTAATTAAGTAAAAACCTCCATTTTCACCACTCTACAAGTCTATTATCAATATATTTCCACTATAAGATCTTTATAGATCATTGTATTCTTAAGATCACCTTTAAAAATCATCATAAAAATCTTGGCAACCCTCAAATCCCTCAAATCAATCATTACATAAGAATCAATCCTGTCCACCACAGGGTAATCCATACCGTCAAATGCCAGGCATGGAATACCATCAGAAGACGAGATTCTCTTGGTGGTGGAGAACCACCACCGGATGATCAGTGGTGCAGCGGTCAAAAGGCAAGAATGCCTTGCCGCCGCCAGATGGGCCATCTGGCAGCCTACAGACCGTCTCCAAAACAGGTTTGTATGCCACCAATCATGTCAGCCCTGGGTACATATACATGTACCCAAAACTAACTTATAATATTGAACTTTCACTTATAAACCTAATTACATGTACATACAGCTTATAAAACACATGTAACATATAATCAAACATATACAAACATCAATTACATATACATATACATTTAATAACATATGTAACATGTAATGAAACACCAATTACACCTCATAACTCAGTGTCAAGAGTTAAAATGCTTATACTACGTAAATTACATAACACGTATATGTAATTACAGCCATTCCGATATTGCTTGTCGCTCCGTTTTGAAAAAGAAAAAGTGAAACCTAAGTTTTTACTCTTCAAAACTTCAAACTTGGCTGTAATTCAAGGCGATACAGCCAAATTTCAGGTTTTAACCAGTTAAAACTTAGGTTTCAAGCTCACAAACTTTTTCTTTTCAAAAAAGGCGCGACAAGCAATATCGGAATGGCTGTATGTAATATTAATAATAATAATAATTAATAATAATCATTAAACCCTAAACCACAGTAATGATACAATCAAATATCACTACAATTAGGTTTAGAGAGGAGAGTATATAAACCCCTCCTCTCTCAGCCTTCAAGGACTTTCCCTCAAGCAATTTATTACATACCTCTTTTAAAGAACCCTTTAAAGTTCATTTGAAGTACATAATCAAAAGTCTTATAATCATAAGACTAGTGATTCACTTCATATCTTTAAAGCAGCTTCCTGACTAAAAGATAAAGTAGTCTCTTCCTTCATTCTTTGGATCCTCTACTTTCCCTAAGTAGATCATTTCTAGGTTAGTGACCTCCCAATTAACTTCAAGGTTAGTTACCTCTTGAACAACTACAGGTTAGTGACCTATATCAACTCACAGGTTGGTGTACCTTCTGAACAACCGTAGGTTAGTGACCTATATCAACTCTCAGGTTGGTGTACCTTTTGAATAACCATAAGTTGGTGACTTTATAACAACCGGACTAGTGACTCTATACCTCACTCTCCAATCAGTCCCTTTGAAGATTGAAGGAAAGCCCTGGATCCAGCTTTCATATTCTTAATAATAATAATCTCCTCTTCAGGAGTCATTTAACTGTAGCCTGTCTGGATTTACCCAAACAGGCCAGTTCCCCTCTCCCTCATCCTTTCTTTTCTTTATAATTTTATTGTAATTACATTATATATGAAATTTAACCTTAATTATATAAAATCACAAACCTACCTTGCCATTTTTACTGAGCCTTGAGTACTCTTTTGCATACCCAACCCTCACAAATCATTGGCGAGCTGATTGAGTGAACCTCTTTGTTCCCTCCCATAGCCACACCATCCACCCCTTGTGGGTTAAGGCATCAATGTTGAGGAAGATGGAGAGGAGCTCCCAGACCAAAGAATGGATTCTAGGAGCTCTCCTGTTGTCAGAATAAAACAGGGATGCCTAGAACCACATCTATGGAGGCAAACGTGAAAACTGAACCTTAACTTCATAGCCTCTGGTTTTACGTTCCTTGAGAACACTTCCTCTTACCATCTTCTGCTCGCCAAAAGACTGGTTGTTCTCTTTCCAGGCCAACCAGCCAGATTTTGACAGGACCAATTTTTTGCTTGTATTCCAACAAAAAGTTACCCTGTGGTGTAGTGCCCTTGTTTACCATCCTCAAATTTCCCTTTCTCTTGAATAATTTCACTCCTCCTTTATCAATCCTCATGATCAAAGTTCTTGCTGACTAATATATCCCTCCTATCTCACATTTTAACCTTCTTGAACCTTCAAATCAATTATTAGTAACTTAAAAACCATTTTCCAACTTATTGCACCTGATATCATTGACTTTTTCCTCTAAATTCTTTGGGTTGAAGCTGGGTTTGGCCAAGCAATGTGATTCAACCTTGGCCTTCATTCTTGGCCATTTCCGTGCTTTTCTTACTAGATTGAAAACCACAGATATGAAAAAATAAAATAAATAACAACAATAGCCACATTTTTTTTGAAACAGCTGTATCAAATCCTCAATTCAAAATATAATCATCCCTTTAGTTTACATAAATCCACAATTTTCAAATCTTACTTCCTCTATCCTTCTCTCTCTCCCTTTCAATTTCCTTTTTCAGAAGACAAATGATCTAATTTAATCTCACTCCTTCATAAAAAAAAAATTTTTTTAAATTTTTTTTTGAAAACACAAATCAAAACAAACCTTAATAAACAAACTTTGGAAAAACCAAAACCTTCTCAACTTATTTTTTTGTGAATATATTTCTTATCCTAATTTGAAAATCAGTCAAGATAAGGTGCAAAAGTATGTAAGAGAGAGAGAGAGAGATAGAAATAAAAATAGAGATAAAGAAATTTGAGAAAAAAAATGAAAGTTTTTTTTTTCTTCACAAAAAAAAATCATGTAAAAACAATTTTATGAAAAAAAAACACACACACGCACACACACTTCATCACATTACAAAGAAAAAAAGAAAACATTAAGAAATCCTCAAAACCACCATCACCTCTACTTTTTTTTCTTCCAAATCAACAAAACAAAAATAATCAAATCAAACTGTAATTCATGATTTCATCAACGTATCTCTAGCTCCAGCTTGTTCACCCGATGCAACCGCCGCAGTTTCACTCATAGCTTCTTCTGCAAAGAATCTAACATCTGCATCACTATCGTCTCTTAATTTAGCTAAACTAGGTAAGATTCGTTCTCCTGCTACTTCTTTACCACCTGGTTGTCCTGCAATCGTTGTAGCAAGCGTTTGAAATGCTTTGGCTACATTGAATCGAATGTTGGGAATCGGATCTGATACTAATCCAATCACTGTATCTAGGATCGGTCCTTTGATCACTTCTACATCTAATGCTGGTGCCATAGTCTGAAAAAACATCCGCCAATCAAAATTTAGTCACAATGTTAAAAGGGAAGATGAGGATTTAAAACCCACCCGAATAGCAAAGATAGTAGTCATTCGATGTAAATAATTTGAATCGCTGGCCATAGCCAAGACCTTTGGAAGGATAGCCGTCTTGGCCCATTCGACACCGAACACTTCTGTCAGTTTCTTCAAATTGATGGTTGCTGATTCTCGGATGCTATAGACTGCATCATTTAGCCAGCTCATACATAAGTCTGCCAATTGTTCATCGAAAAATGACACTCCTAGTTGAGTAGCCAATAATGGAATGTATTCAATGATCGCCTGTCGGACTCTCCACTGTTTGTCTTCAGATAGTTCCATGATTGCAGGCAAAAGAGCTTGAGAGAGAAGTTCAATTCCGATCACTGATGAAGATAAGTCGAGTTAGTCAATAGGGTGAACAAATGAGTGACTTCTTCAAAAGTTATGAGATTGAAAAGACAAGGGACCCACCATCATTGACCTGCTCAATTTTCGAGATAATGTTAAGTCTAACATCGGCAAAATCATCTTTTAACAATTGAAGAAAGAGTGGGAGAAGTTGTTCAGTTGTAGCCTCCTTGCCCAAAAGTGGGGCAAGTCCAGCTACTTGATTTGCCAAGGCAGCACGGACATATTGTGATGTATCTGATGCAAGCTCTCGGACACAAATCAAGATCCGCGATAGAATCACCTCTCGGTCAATGAGTTTACAAAATCCTACAATGCCACATTACGTCAGCCAATCATCCAGAGGTGCATAACGTGTAGATGATGGAGAGTATGCCTCACCTGGTATCTGTCCCGCAGCTGCAGTGCGTACCTCTGCCTCATTATCTTTCAAGAGGTGTACAAAGGCACCAACGAGTTCCTCCCGGATGACATCCTCACCAGCTCCTTCCGCGAGTTGGACGAAATGATCCGCAATCATATAACGTACTCTCCAACTCTTGTCGCTAACCATAGCTTTCATAGTAGGACCGAGCTGTTGTTTACAAATCGCCTTGTCCGGTAATGAGCATGCTATTGCGATCAAGGCATCCACTGTCAACAGTCGGACCGAATCTTGATCGTCCGCTGCTAGTTTTCGAAAGACAGGAATTGCATCTGAGACTAGGTAGTTCTGTGGTAGAACCTTGGCAAAGGGCTGAAGTTAAATGTCCCAAAGCGAGATGGATGTACGAGATTAGTTTGGTTGAGATGAGTTCAAGAATATAAATTATATGTTCAATTAGAGATCTGTATAAAGGATGGTGATCATCGGAAAGGCTGCGAGCGATGGAGGAAAGAGAAGGAATTTGTCACTTACCCCAAGCTCTTTGGCAGCCGCTCGCCTGACCATAGGTGTTTCATCAGTACAAAGAGCAGCATACATCCGGCGCATCTCATCTTTGGTAGTGTCTGTGGCTTTCTGGTAAGCAGGTGCATAGAGAGCTGTAGCAGTCTGTTTTCATGACCAAGAAAGACGATTCAGATTCATGGGTAGTGGGAAAAAAGATCAAATTCGAAATCGAAGAGGATTTACTGATCGACTGGTGAACCATTCGGCTACACTTAGCCTTTTCATAGCGGGTACATAAAATTCTTCGATCTGCGCTGGAGAAAGTACACCGGCAACTTGTGTGGCAGATTCGGCAGCCTAGAAGAAGTCCAGTGGGAAGATAGATTACATATCAGTCAAGCTAAATGGATGATAGGTGAGAAGATACGATCAGATGAATGGTCATTTTACCTTATCCCGAACCAAGGTTTCTTCGACTGATGCCAGGTTCTCCAAGGGCACTAACAAGAGATGAGCATAGTCAGGTCCACCAAGGTATTCAACAAAGGCTGCATTCAGCTCTCCAGCCACAGCAAGCAATACTTCACTGAAGATCGAGAAAGTGACCAAATGAAATTTAGATTAGTGATAGTGAGTGCGAAAGAGAAGAAGTAGAATCGAACTCAACTCTTCATCATCTAGACCTTCATGAATAAAAGGTAATAATTCTTCACGTGTTCGTTGAGGTCCAAGAGCTAAAGCAATAGTAGTTAATCGATGAATAGATGTAAGCCTAGAAGCTACATCATCAGATTTGAGTTCATCAATGAGAATCTGAATCCAAGAAATAGATCGAATGAGATGAGTTGTAAGTCAGGAGAATGATGAGTGATGATCGAATGAAGAGTAGTACTAAACTGCTAAAGGATGTAAATTAGCTAAACCAGAATGATGAATGAGACTTGGATCGAAAGGTGGTACGTTCATATGTTGAGGTTCAGCCATCATCTTGAGATTGATATTTGATGATTGATGGTTGATGGTTGATGGTTGATTGATTAGTTTAAGTTGATGATGTCTCGATCAAGATTGAAGAGTGAAGAGACGGTCAACTGGATTTAAATCAAATCAGATCAAATCAAATCCACTTAAACTGTAGTCTGTAGTCCAAAACTATTTTACTAAACTCACTTTACCATTCTCATGACTTTCACTTCACCACTCTGAGTCTGAGTCTGAATCAGAGTCTCACTGACTTCGTTCAAACTACAAATGTCTTCTACTGATGATCCAATCATCATCGAAGCTACAAAAGCTTTAGATGATTACAAAAAAAGAGATCTATCAAAAGGTACTCAATCTGATCTTTCTCTTTCTCTCTATCTTTCAATTTCAAACAAAAAATACTAATCAAATCTGTTTTCCTTGTTTTCCCTGTTTTCCACTCTTTGGGTTCGGTCTCTTCATAAACAGTGGTCGTACGTTTCAAAGCAACTGGTGCTGCACCGATCATGAAGCAAAACTTTTACAAGATCACTGCTTCTAATCGGTTTCAGACGGTCATTGCTTTCTTACGTAAAGAATTAGGTCTTAAACCTTCAGATTCAGTCGTTAGTTTCTTTCTTTCTTTCTTTCTTAATTTCGGTGATTTACAATTCTCATCTGACATTTCAATGGTTATCTTGGTTCGGGTCTTCAAAAGTTTCTTTACATCAATTCTTCTTTTTCTCCTGCGCCTGATGATACAGTCGTGAACTTATTTAAATGTTTCTCAACTGATGGACATTTGATTGTAAACTATAGGTATGTGTTTTTGGTTTGATTTGAATTTACTATTCTTTGAAACCGGAAAAATTCAAAAAATCAGACTAATCATTTCATTCCACTTTCATGGATTTCTTTTTCATCTGATGAATTTGGTTAGATTAGTTCTACAGCGGCTTGGGGTTAAAATTCATCATCATGGGTCTTTCTTTACTAATCACATCACTGATCAACCACATCTTTCTTGGGTGGCTATCTTGAGGAATGATCAATTCATATGTAATCATCTCTTGATCTCCCAACCATCAATGAAATGTAATTCTATGTTTCTCATGAACAAAACCCAAGTCAAATGGAATTCCACCCCGGTCCATTTTCATCAAGCCAGTAGGATTGGTGTATCATGGAGAAGAAAGAAGACAATCAGTGGGATTACTCAAAAACAACTACTGTTGAGAGTCATTGAGAAGACACAAAAAAGGACAGAATGTGATTTCTGGTCAAAAATTCCTTAGGGCGTGTTCACTTAAGCAATTTCTGGTGAGAAATCACATTTTGCAAAATTTAAAGTGTCCATTTGGTGGTGCATGTTTCATTTTTGCATTAAAAAATTTACAGAATGTGGTTTCTGGTCAGAAATTCCTTAAGTGGGCGCGTTCACTTCAGCAATTTCTGGTGAGAAATCACATTCTGCAATTCTAAAGTGTCTATTTGGTGGTGCATGTTTCATTTTTGCATTGAAAAATTTACAGAATGTGATTTTTGGTCAGAAATTCCTTAAGTGAACACACCCTAAGTGATTGCACAGGACCCCGGAATGCCCCTATAAAGGGTAGTGATCTGAAAAAGTCCCTTTTTGACTTCCGTGGATCCCCACCTCTGCCAAATGGCTAATTCGGTTCCTGGCTTCACCCATACCTTTAAGAGGGTCTTAAGTTATCCTTGGACTTTCTTGAGACTTTCAAAGGCTGGAATGGATCACAAAAACCAATGATAACAGAAGGCAGAAACGGGCAGAATCAAAGCAAGCTGTGTATAATCCCATGAATTTTAACTCCGCGGAAGTCAAAAAGGGACTTCTTTAGATCACTACCCTTTATAGGGGCATTCCGGAGTCCTGATTGCACCCATAGTTTTTGGAAATCTTGCCTTGGAGCTCATGTGGTCTAAGCAAATAGGAGACATCAGGAGTGACACTGAACCCCATGTAGAACCCAATCAGAATCCCATTGGTAACATCAATACATCATGCATTGGAATGTAGTTTGCTTCCCTTACTTGCATGCTTAAAAAATGGGATTGCAATGTGTAAAGAAGATAAGCAAGAGTCATATAGTAAACCCTAACGGGTGTGTTGGGTCTATCCCAAGGAATGCATGTGCATGTTTTTGTTTCTCACATTTATCTTCACAGGACATGAAGGAATTTGAGTAGATCCATATTTTGTTGAAATAATACACTTCAATCTCAAGATGACTGCTAGCAACACCCAAACCCCACCGCGGAAAACTGGGGCAGTGCGAGGGTCCCGCCGCGCCCTCAGTCTACTGAAGTGGCACTGGGATAAAAGCGCGCCGGGTCCCGGTTTTTACTGGGGTCTGACCCGCCGCTGCCCCATTGACGGGAGCCCAGGGGGAACCCAGGGGCCCAGTTGGGCTCAAAGAGCAAAACAAGATAGTTGAATGATATTTTCCTGCTATCTAGATATTGTTTAACCATATAAGGCAATCAGTGATGTATACTTAATCAACTGGACTGAATCATACTGAGGAAAGTTGATACAATTGATGATTTAAAAGCCAATGATGTCATACTAATAACATCTTTTGGTTGAAGAAGAGGTTCAGATCAATTCAAGAACAAAAGTAACGGACCAATGCAGAAATATATAACAAATTGATCAAAGGCTGTACTTAACCAATAGATCAAAGAACATGTTTGATGAATTCATTCAAGAATGAAACCAAAGGATCGATTGAAGATGTGATTGAAAAGTGGTGAAAATCAATCAAGATGAAGGGAACCAAAAAAACAGAGAATTTGTAAAAGGTTTAAGTGGAAATCGGTGGTTCAACTTGATCAATCAATTTTTATCAACTTTTAAGTGAATGTGAATCAGAATATTGATTCCAAAGCACTATCTCAGAGTTGAATCCTTGGTAATAGAATAGAACAAGGCCTTTAGCAATCTCCCAATCCTATCACCCCTTCAATCAAATCCCCTTTCCACTTAAATTTCTCCTCTGTCCTCCTCAAATTCAAGTTCTGTCTTGAATTTTCTTTTCTCAAATTATTTCTCAGATGCATTCTGTGCTATGAATCCTTCCACTTTGTCCGTTAAAAGCGAGCTTGGATTTTTTTTGGCGGCCATTTGTTTATTTCGAATTTAGTGAAAAAAACCCCAGTCTGCAGGGCGCTGCAATGGTCTCAAGCGGGCCGCGGTCCCCTTGAGAATTTTTCTCACTGTGGTAGTGATGCGGTGAGGTCGACTTGAAACTGGGGTCGATTGCACCGCTGCCTCCGTGAACCCAAAATCCGCCGTGCTGCGGCGGGGTTTGGGTGTTGCTACTAGACATCTCAGTTTCAATATACAGTTGACTTGTTCAAAACCAATTTGTGTCAAAAGCAATACTCTCGGAAAACTGATACTTTTTCAGTCGAATATTTTTTATTTGCAGGGAAATCAGTCCATAACCAATACCTTTGTCAAACCCAATAACCAATACTTTTTTTTCAAGATCCCAAGTTCAAACCCAATAACATAGTGGGTCATGTGACTTGTGCACCACCAACATATTTACCTCGGATTTTGTAATCCGAGGTATCCTCGGATGCACAACCTCGGACAGAAGCTTCCCAAGGTTTTGATCCGAGGTAATTCTCAGGGCAAAAAAATACCTTGGGCAAAAACCTCGGACAAGGTCTGTCCGAGGATTTGCCTCCGATGATGCCTCGGATTTCTCAACCCGAGGCATCTATGCTGGCAGTGGTGGTTCTGGGTTTTTGTACATCTTTTGTTTGTTTTTTGCATGTTTTTGTCTCTACAATTGGTGTAGTTCCACATCTTAACTCGTTTATCACACAATGTTCATCACCTTGCAATTGTAATCATCAATTCTGATAAAATGCTTCCCAGGGATCTTTCCAAATTCAATATTTGTCACATTGAAAAAGGATTTGAAACCTTACAAACCAAGAACAATGCTCACTTAAAACCTTTGAAAGAGCTGCTCAGCTCAGAAAAGAGACTCACCAAAGCTGACAAGCAATTCATGGATATAACAGCAAACCTTGTTGATGAGTCGAGGTTAGTGGAGCACATCAAACAAATTGGAGATGTATCCTGTGCCGCCATTGAGTTTGACAAGCAGGAGAAGGCCATGTTGGAGGTCCTACTCCTCAAGGCTGACCAGCCAAGTCCAGTGACGGTGAAAGCAAATAGTGATTCTACGGCCTTTGCATCTTGAACAAAAGTGTGACCATGAAGCTCATTCTAAGTGAATGAAGTTTTTCAACTTTATTCCCAGAAAAACGGAACTGTACGGAAGTTTTGCAGCCAAACCCTCATAAGCCTGTCTGCTTTCAAGGAAAGACAGGTGAGCAACTTGGCTTTTACTATTAAAACAACACAAAAGCCTGGATGCAGACAGGACTTTCTTGCAAGTGGATCAAATAATGGTACCAAGAGCTTAGATTGAAGGACCACAAGATTTTACTTTTTCTTGACAACTTTTCTGGTCACTCAGTCAACCCAGACAGACCTTTCACAAACATCTGTCTGGAATTCTTTGCCCCAAATCTTACATCTCACGTCCAACCACTCAATGCAGGAATTATTGCCAATCTCAAGTGCTACTATCAATCTGAATTTATCAATTATGTGATTGATTGTTACAAGCGCAAAATCTCAATATGTTGAGATCTACAAGAGTCATCAACTGCATGCAATGAAACTTGCTTCTGAGGCCTGGTTTAGGGTCTCCAACACAACAATCACAAACTGCTGGAGAAAGTCTGGTATTCTTTCTGATTGAGATCCAGACGGATCAGTCATGAATCAAGATGATAATTTCAATCCTCATGATCTAAATTTGGTTCCAATCATTGATGAAGAAGCTAGAGTCACTACAAAATCCAACTTGTACAGTCTTGAAAGTTTGAATATTGTCCATAAACCAAATCGAATGTTGATCTCTGACCTCCTCATGCCAGTTGGTGAACATTCAGGTGTCTTAGAAGAATGGACACCCAAAGAGATTTTTGAAAGTATACAAGAGGTTATGAAAGAAAACAATGAAGTTGAAATCACACCACTGCCACCTTGACCAACTCACAAAGCCTTCCTCAAAGCCTCAGAAATTATGTTAGGATATCTTGGTTAAGATCCAAGTGATGAAATCAAAGGGTTTGAACACACCATTAGTGCCTCTGTAAGACATTGTCTCTTAGTCCGTTTCAAAGCTGCCAAGCAGCAAAGCCTCAAAGATGTCTTCTCTAAAGATACTTTGTGATATAAATTGTAGATATGTTTCTCTTTCATAACCAATAATTTGTCTGCAATGCAATTTCTATCGGTTTTGACAGAGATCTGAACAGACACTTGGTCAAAACCAATAGCTTTACTGTTATGATCCTATACAGCATGTAACAGGATGTGAAAGGCCCGATGCTACATATCACAGATACCTCATAGTGTAGTCCACGTTGTACGGCGAGAGCCTCTCTTTCTTCTTCATCCGACAATTTGCATTACTAGGATAGATATACGGAAGACTCCTTAACCCTCCGTCAGAACCAAACCCCAAGAGCAGTCCTAACATATTGTCGGATCCAAATCGACAAGCGTTAAGGAATCAACTCTAGACTAGAACCCACGATATCAGATTTTCTCGAAGAACCCAGAACCCCAAACTCAGATCCGGTTAATCCCCATCTCAATAATCAAGGTTCACCAATTAGATTCAGCCGTAACCTTATTTCTACTAAACCTCAAGATACTCAACAGACCTGCATCGAACCCCTCGGAATCCTATTACCACGTCTCCCTCATACAGAACCCCCGCCGACGACGTCGAGTCAGACAGCGAATCATACACATCCGTAGTTGAAGGAAGATCAAACCCTCTCGATACTTCTACTACCCCGCATTTGAGTGATTCGAACTCAGACATCATGGAAGAAATACAA